AAATCGACCTCTAACTATGCTAAAACGGCCTTGGAAGTTCAGGAAAAAACCAGAGTCTACTCAAACACGAATGGATTAGTTTGAACGCACTGTTTGATGAATTTTTTAGCAAAAACACATGAGATATTGGAAGCAAATCCCATTTGAACGCCCTGTAAACTGTTCGAATGCCAAACTTTTCTTTCAAACATGTTGTCGCGATTCTGCATATAAGATCTGCGCCGATTGGACTATTTTCTCACCTTATAAATACCTAGGTATATCTTTTGGGACTGATTTACCCATATTTCAACCTTAGAAAGTGAGAGAGAAGGAGAAAATGCAAGATTCTGAGAGATTTTCATGTCTGGAACGGATCAAACACGCCAAGTTTACACACAAACTATGGATTTAAAGTAGGGAATTTTTCTCATGTTCTTTAATTGAGACTTAAGGTATTATATATGTACGTTTTGAAACTTCTTAACTGTTATATGTTAAATAACTATTTGTCTCTTGATTTCTTTTCGAATAACTTGTGGGTTTCAACGAAATACATGTCTTGCATTCAAGAAACATAATTCTTGAATTTTCAAACTCCTAGTTTTCCCAAAGACATGTTTTATTGTGAAAGATATATTAATTCTTACTTTCTAAAATTCCTATTATTTATTAAATTAGGTTTCCAATCAACTACTTGTTCTTACTCTAAGAAATTATGACTTTTGACAAAATCCTAGAATTTTGATATCAAAATGTGAAGGTTTTTTTGATATGATCTCTTGCATATTTTAATTCATCTAATATTGTAATATATTAAGAATTTTAAAATTATGATACTTTGAAATCGTGATTGATTAAGATTGCGGTTGGTGAGCAAATTGTGATTTCATCGCTTGTATAATTTGGGTGTGACGGACTAGAATTGCCTTCGAGAGCAGTCGTATAGTGTTAGAGGTTAGTCTATCCCAGTAAGAATGAGATGTTTGCCTAACACTTGAAGTGAATTATTATTTGTAAGAGTAACCATTATTGTTCACATAAGTTTGAGACAGATGGATGATATACCTATCTTGAAAAAGACTCGTCAATGCCGTGTGAGATGATATACGTCCTTCCTAAAGTGGTTTGTGATGTGCCCTATGGGGAATGATTAAGGTTATGCGTTTGTGGTAGGTGAACAAGGTAGAATCATTGTGTACATTTCTGAGAAATAACCAACATATATGAGAATATGAGATGATATTACTGGGTTATTAATTAATTGGTTTAATTTCTTTTATGTTTACTTTTGTCATTGATTTACCATATTTCGTACACTTAAAATCATTGTGAAAGGTTTTTTCGTCTTGAGGTCAAAGGTTCAAGTCTCCCCTCTCCTTTCCCTCCCCCTTCCCCTCCCCAAAAGAAAAATAAAAAGATCATTACAACTACCATAGTTTTACTTTCAAAAAGTTATATATGCTATTTTTCAAAAGAGATTTGCCTTCTTTTTGTTGTTTTAAAACCTTATTTGAAATTTGAGAGGAATTTTCTATGGGTTTTTGCTCACCCCTACAACAACACTTTTATAGATTTTAGCATAAAAGAAAATGTCAATGTGGATGAATAGCTTGACTATGAGGCGATAGAGAACCAAGATGTGAATCCTATTTCTGATGAATAAACTTGTTTTATTTTTGGTTTAGAGTTTGAGAGATTTCCATGAAACGATATTTCAATTAGTTTTAATTATTTCGCTGCCAAATACTATTTGGTTTTAGATTATAAGTTAGAAAAGTTACAATATTTTATTGATTTTAGTATTTATTCTTTATCAGATAGATGAATGGTTGATTATTTTAATGGTTATTTTTAGTTACTCTTATGATTGGATGCTTTCTAAATAATAATACCTTCTTGGGTGAATTTTGGGACATTACAATACATCTCGTCCATAGCCTTTTTATCCCCCCCCCCTTTTTTTAAACTCTTGGATAAATGTTTATGCCTTTGGTTTTGTAGACAGAGAATTTATTATTTTCATTAGATGTTTATTTACTTATAGGTAGTATTGAAATTAAATCAGGTTTTATTTATGATTTTAGGATATTTGTTGGAATCAGTTTTTTTTTTTTGCAATTAGTTCACAATTTGTTCGTAAATGTTAATTTGATTGAAATTAGGCCTTCCAAATATGATTGAATTACATTTGGATGTTGTGATTAATAGAATTATATACTAAAATTTTATTTTTTGTAATGAAACTCAATTTATTATTTAATAAAATTTCTTTGTTTCATATTTCAATGAGAATCTGTGTGGGTAAAATATTTTTATTATATTAAATAAATGATATGTATGTGTGTATTTTATTTTATATTATAAATAATTTGGTGTGTAAAGTTCGGCTTGTACACAGAAGATCGGATTATCAAATTCTTGTATGATATAAGTAAAGGTTTACAGTCTTGGATAGAATTGAACACACCATCAGTAGAAGTGTAGTACAATCTTATAGTATAATCTGACTTGGTTATAAGAAATTGTCTGATGTTTCATACTATTGTACTAATACACTTTGTGTATTAGACAATACCAATATTAAGGTTATTTTCTTTTTACTGACTAAATAAGAAAATAAATACCTCATGGTTATTATAATTGCTTAAACTCTTAATCCTTAGATATTTAATTATCACGTGCATATAATGATTGTTACTTTAATCATAAAAGATTGAAATTTATATTTGAGTTAACAAACTTAGTGAATCAGGAGATAACATTATTTGTATGGTGAAAATTAATTATTAAAGGAAATCACGTCTCGGTATTTAATTGAGTTGATGATGTCCTCTTGAAGAAGCTCATAAATTTTGTCCATGTCAAACATGCATGTAAATTTAATTATCCGACATAAAAAATAAGTTCAGTGGTAATATCTCAAGGATAAAAATAAGTCAATTAAATATAATTGTCAGTAATTTAATTAATTGACAGACATCTGTAATTTTAAATGTGGAGAGATTATTAAGCATATAATAATTAAGAGCTCAAAATATAATTTAGAGATAAGACTCAGGTGATGAATAATAAATTTTTAATATATTAACTTATTATTAATGGATCATAAGATGTTTGTTCTAGGTTGGACTTAAGATTCCTAGGCCCATTGTCAGCCCAACCCTTATTTCTCCTTAAAATCTCTATTGTAACCTATAAATAAATACACTCATCTCGCTCTCTCATCCATAACTTTACCTTCACGTTTAGAAAATGTAGAAAAAGAGCAAGGGATAGAATTCAAAAGATTGTAGCCCATACTGCGTTTGGATTTTGTCATGTAAGGATATACGGTAAAAGATCGAGAGGTTCATCGAGCCTACTATTCAATCTACATCTGTTCTTCGTTCGTGCGGATTTACTCGTCAAAAATAAACCCTAATTCCGCTTTACAGAGTTAATAAACAAGTCAAATTTTTTATAATTAATATATATATATGCGCCGTCAATGAATTTTAGAATTGCCATTCTAACATTGCCATAGTTGTAATTATATGTATGTGTGCTCTTTGACATTAAATTTATATATGAAGGTGCTACTTTTGTGGTCACATAACAATAAAATTTCTTATTTGTTATTATCAGCATCATATGGATTCATATGAAAATTCTGAACATAATTAAGAACACGAAGACTTATCAATAATCGTGTTAATAAAATTTCACAGTTCACACCATTGTTACCTACTATGACAATCACTTTTGCAATAGATACTTGTAGATATTCTTTTTATCTAGGTACCTATTTCTCATGGATATATTAAATGGACATCCTAGGAGATACCATGAATTATTTCAGATGAAAAAATGTGTATCCTTGTGACTTGTTTGAGATCTAAAATGACGGAATTTATTAAAATAGAGTCATGAAATTAGTTTGGAAGAATACGTTTTTATATTTCTTACGATGATTGGTCATTATGAAAAAAATAGAATGTAACAAGAGCGTTTTTATCAATCTGGTGAAACTATAAACAAGCATTTTACAAAAGTTTTGAAAGCTTTAGCAATCTTTTTAATGTCAATCATTGTTTCTCCTTCATTTCAACAAATACTCAGACATATTCGCAATAATATTACCGTATAAGTTAGAGTATCCACCGAAAGAGCTCAGTTAGTCTACTAACTGATTTTATTAGCATAGAGTAAAGAACTATATAAGACTATTCTCTAATAGGGTACTCTTTTCTTATGAAAAAGCATTTCAAAATCAATACACATACGAATAATAGTTTAGAATAAATTGCTTTAATCGGAAAATTGTAACAAATATTCATTCAGTATCAATTCTTAGTAGGGAATAAATAAGCAAATTCCCTTGGATATCTATTTGTCGGACTGCCCACCTAAACAAGACGAAGTTATGGATGTTATAACAAAACATAATAATAATAATGTCTCTTTTTCTTTTAATATTATTGTTTGATAGGTGTAATGAACGCAATTAAGAGTCTTATGATCCCACTAATAAGGGTTTATTGGAGTGGTCTTTGGACGTTGTCCCTTCCCCCGCCTCTTCTTTTAACTAACAAAAAAAAAAAAGGTACATATAGTATAATTATTTAATTTATTTTTTGTAAAAGAATGTTGTGGTGCAATTGTTGAAAGTTTTAAAGCACATGTTCACCAAAATTGTACGTAAAGTAAGAGAAAATTATACTTTGACCCTTAATTGGCTACTTTTTATATGATCCCTCAATTATCATATTTTCTATATTGTCCTTTTAACTTTATAATTAATTTTAAATTACTGTAATTATTATTTTTGGTTACAAATTTGATGCCCCAAGCTATGTGATTTTTTTTATTTTGCCCATACGCATTGACAATTTTCACTTAGTTGAGGGATAATGTAAAACATTTAATAGTTCAAGGAATAAAATAAAATCAAGTCCATAATTAACGGGGTCTAAATGTAATATTTCTAGCTTATAACAGTTCAAAGTGTATTTCCCCTTTATATCGCCCTCCCTAAATCTAGCCTCTTCGTTTGTGCTCTCTCTCTCTCTCTCTCTTACACACACAAACAAACAGACAATCATCAGCCATGTCTGCCGAATCCGCCTCTGCTGTTCCAAGAAGCCAAGTACGGTGTTCTTGCACTCAATCCCCACATTTCTCCAATCTCCCCTGTTTTCTCGATATTATTTAATTTATTATTACACGAATAATCTTGTATTCATTTATAAATGTATATACGTATCCGTATATTAATGATGTTAATCGGTGAACTATGATCAGGTGGATTTGCTTGATTTCATAGATTGGTCCGGAGTCGAATGCCTCAATCAAAACGGCGCCCACTCCCTTCCCAATGCTCTCAAACAGGTTTTGTTTACTCAAGATCTTTCTTAAAAAAATTAGGGTTTCTTTCTTAATTTTCATATGTTTATGCATTATACTTCCAGAAATGATTGATTTTAATTTGATGGCTCTACAGTTTTATTTGGTCAGGATAAGGGTTTGGTTAGAATATAGGTTTATTAGGGTTGTAATTGGGGTTTAATTGAATTCTAACTTTCTCGTAACAGAATGTAATCAAAACACGTTCATTTATTGCTAGCGGATCTGTTTACACACTATTCATATGCAATAAGTTGTTTAACTTGACAGGATTGAATTGGCTAATTCATCAATTTTCCTTATCCTGTTTTTAATGGATTTCACGAGTTTGGGACAGACAAGATATTTTTAATCCTTTAGATTGTGCAATGCTTCCTATTATATAGGTTTTATGGTTGGAAAGAAGTTTGAGAATTTTTGAAGAGCAAGTTTGAGGAAATGGAATGCTTATGGCATAATATCTATTTTTTGCTTTATATTGGGCTTTGGTTACCGATGAATAGTGGGTATACCCCCTCTTTTTCATTGTGGTAAGTTGGAAGATTTATGTGGCATTTAGTTAGCCATTTTGGCGTCTAATATGCTATTTACTTTTTCTTTGTGTTTCTTTTGGGTTTTAAGTATACTGGTTGGATTGGTTGTCCACCATTGTCACTTTGTCTTGTACATAGTTGTTAGTATCGTACGATATGTCACGATACAGAGAGAAAATGATACGGATCGTAATTATGTATCGTTTTTGCGTTGTATCGTCCGATACACGATACGTATCAGTACAATACAAACGATACGCGAAGTCTCTGTTTAAATATTTTTTTATTTTTTTTTTACACACCAAATCCCCAAATCAGCAAAAAACACCCAAGAAAAGCAAATAAAATAAATTTTTGAAATTAGAAAAAATAGCAACACTAACCTGTAATTCAGATGAAATCTTAGGTTGAATTATTACCCCAAACTTGTTAGTCTCACGACCTCTCTCTGTCTCATGATCTCTCTTCATCGTTGTGAGCTGCGACCACGAGGTATGTTCTTCTTTTTCTTCTTCTCTCTCTGTCCAGCACCGGCCCATCACCTCCCGCCTCTTCTCTCTTCTCTCTCTCTTTGCTGCCTTCGTTCATGGGTCACGACATGTGCATATATATATATATATATTTTTTTTTATAAGAATGAAAAATTACATTTACTACCCCATTATATTATAACTTTTTACTTTTAAGTATATTTAAGTACCATTAATTTAATTTGATACCTTTCATTATTTTTTTAATATTAGTAAATTATATTAGTGACTTGAATAGTAGGTAGAATATTAATAAAATATTATGTTTTTATGAGTCTATGATTTTTTTTCAAAAGCATATATATATTTTTATTGATTATTTAAAATTGCACCGTATCTTACGATACACGATATGATACGATACACTATTTTTAAAAAACAATACACCTTCCGATACGCTATTTGACAAATATGGTCTTGTATAACCTAATTAATAAAATTGTGTTTCTTATCAAAATGCCGCGTTATTTAGGATGTTCAAGAATCTATTTCCTTAACAAGTGATTTTTTTTTTTTTGTGTTCCTTGTAGAGGATTTCCCCGCCCCTTTCATTTTCTTTTTTTGTTGGGTCTATTAGTGGAGTATTGATTAACATATTCCTTGTGAACCAGGGTTACAGAGAAGATGAGGGTTTGAATCTGGAGAGTGATGCAGATGAGCAGTTATTAATGTATCTACCTTTTACCCAAGTTATAAAATTACATTCTTTTGCCATTACAGGACCTGAGGAGGAAGGTAACTCTTCATCTTTCCAGTTGTCTCTCTTTTTTCAAGCTCATTAGTATATTGTGCTGCTTCAGTGTAAGAACTGAAAACTAGGGGTGCACTATGGAATTAGCTTGATATCTTTGATGTTGTTATATTTTTGTGGCATTATAGCTGTTAATTTTGAACTACTCGCTTTAGGAATCTGAGTGAAGAGATGCATGCCACAGCCACTTATCCGTTTTGAACTTGAAGCTTCTTTGTGATCAGTTAAATTCACTAATTCCCTTCTGTAGAATGTCTCATGTGCTATAAAGGAGTAGCATTATGTGCTGGTTATGAACAAATTAACACATGCCAGACCAACTGTATTTTTTATTAGCCAGGTTGCTGGAAAAAAAGTTTAAAATTAGAGACTATTTGCATTGTTAGAAAGATATTTTCCAAATGCTAATAGGTTTTAGTTAGATGGTATTGGAAGGTAAACGTTGAAGCTTGACCTTTTGAAAATGGCAAGGGCAGCACCCTCAGTCTCATTTATGTTGGAATCTGACTCTGAAGCAAGCATATGAAGATTCTTCATTTTTCTTCAAGTTGGCCTAAAGTAGGAAGTGGACACAATATTGCTCTTCTAACACTTAAAGAAGGATGTCCCCGGTACTACTAGTTGCATTTGTGTAGCTACCTGGGCTAGACTAACCATGTGAAATGACGTTAGTGGTGCAAAATAAGAATATATCTATACATAAGGAGGTATCTGCATTCTCATTGAGACTCTCCTTGTGTTAGTCAATATTCAAATAAGAAAATTTTTCCTTTCAAGGATGATATTTGTACTATCCTTCTTTTGACCTATTGGCCAAGTTGATGCCTTGACCTTTCCCCCAAGTTTTCAAACGAATTGGCGAACTTGGTTTTTCTTATTTGTTTCCAAATAATAAGAATATTTTATTAGGTTCAGCTGTAGAGGCCCAACATCTGCATCCTAGATTAAAGGAAAGAGCCAACAGAAAGAACCACCATTCCAAATTTGGAGTAGAAGATTTCATGTTGTTAATAGTTTTTAACCATGGTTTATACTACCACAATTTCCCTATAAACTAATGTGGAGTCAAGTGGGTCAGCTATTAAGAATACACGGCAAAAGAAGGATAGGGGTCGCTAGGTCAGAAAAGTAAGAATTATAAATTTTTCCCAAGGAGGATTTGAACCTACGACCAATCAGTTAACAATCGACTGCCCTACCATTGAGCTAGTGAGAAACAACGGACTTAAGGAAGCGACTCTCATTCTTTGGACCAACTTTTGACCGAACAAAAATGAATTTGTCACTTCTTTTCACAAACACCAAGAGAAAAAAAAAGGTTACGATAGCAAGCCCCTCCCCGGCCGGAGAAATTACGGAGACTTGGCCACAGTGCAACATGCATCTTAAAAACTAGATCATATTTATGGTGAATTGTCAATTGCCCATGGAGGTTTTCAAGTCCAGCTTAATTTCCTGTGTACTGTACTTGCGATAATGGTGAGTGTTACCTTTATAAATTTTTTCTTTCTGGTCAATTTGAGAGGCTACATTTTCCCAGGTTTATTGTCCTGCATGCATTCGTCAATGTATTATTTTTTCTTAGAAAATACATAGAAAGAATTTTCTTTGGATTTCTATGTGATAACTCGGCTGATTAAATGTTGTACTCACTGTGCTAAATTCCTAATGCATAGCTCATTTTCCAGGTCCTAAAACAGTTAAGCTTTTCTCAAACAAGGAGCATATGGGATTTAGGTAACTTATGAAGTCTTGTTACATTTTTGACCTCATGTTTTTGTGGGACATTATTTTATTGTGTAAAACCAGGGAGATTTCCTGATTCTAATGCTAACATCTGCAGCAATGTCAATGACTTCCCTCCGAGTGACACAGCTGTTTTATCTGTAGATGATCTTAAGGTAATTTCAGTACTTACACATGCTTTTGCTACATGGTTGGTCCTTTTCATGAAAGCAAACTTTCCTGGATGTAATTGTTGTTACACTCACAAAAAGAAATCATTGGAGTGTGACACTTGTGCAATTGTAGGGGAAACCGGTGGTGGTAAAATATGTCAAGTTTCAAAATGTGCGCAGGTACAAATTTTGCCTTTACTTTGCCATCCTTCATTAACCTATTTGTTCTCTATTCAAAGAATGAGTTAGTCTTACTTGCAATTCTTGATCAGCTTGACCATCTTTATCGAGGACAATCAGTCTGGTTCTGACATTACAAAAGTTCAAAAGATCATCCTCTATGGAACTACGTATGTTTCTTGCATAACCCTTTCTTTTATGTTCTTTTATTTTTAGTTGCTACATTTACGGTGAGCAATATTGAGTGTTGCATTGGGATGTGTAGTGTGTTTCTCCTTTTATCTTTTTGCTTATTTGATAGTGATGTGCATCTGGAAATATAATCTAAAGTAACTACTAGCTATGTGATTGCTTTATCTATAAAAGAAGGCTTCCAGATGTGTAGCGTGTTACACATCAATCCCCATCGTTATTTATGGTATCCAATGTCCTGTTCAAAAAGAGTATAAATGAAAGCTTTTCATTCTGTTTTCCTTGCAATTTTCAAGACTCCAGCATATATGAAATAAAACTTTATGTATTTGTTGGACAGATGATAATTGGCCTATAGTGCCTGCCATAAAGCTATACAAAAACTCCTCTTTTCATCTGAGTTATATCGACAGATCATTTTCCAAATAAGTAAAATACGAAGTATGGTAGGCGGCATTAGAGTGAATGATATGAGCTGAAGATTTAGAGCCATAATGGTTTCAAACCAAATTGAGTCTATTTTCTTCAATTGAACTGATTAGCGCTAATGTTGAAATGTTGGAAACCTTTAGACATGTATGCCTTAACTTTTTGCAGTCAGATTGACTTTGGTAATACCACTGATGCTACAAGAGTCGTAGTATACTGTTATAATGGCATTATAGCGCTGTTTGTCTTTGCTCCCTTATGTTAGCAGGGAGAATGAGAAATTCTAGGTTTTTAATGTATAAACTTTGTAAGGTGTGCAACAGACCTTGATATCAATACCACTAAAAGTCAATAGTCCATATTGAATCTGGAAGTTTAATAAGATAATAAAATCATGCCTTTTGTGTGCCTGTTGTTTAGCTAAAAAGCGCACGACTTAGGGCCTAGGCCCTCACGTGGCCAAACTTGCCCTGCTTCATGTTTGCAGAGGTGCAACAGATTTGCCTCTATAGGTGTTCTGCCTATCCTAACACTGGTGAATAGAAAACTTGTCACAGCTTTTTTAGGTATATGCATGGACTTTGTTTTGCCGTTTTGTGTATGTTCGCTATTAGGTTTTGGGAGAATGTTTGGATTGGGGAGTCGTCCTTTTCATATTGCTTTATTGCCTTCCTCTTTTCTCAGGATCATGATGCCTCTATTGCTTCTAGGATTCCGCCTTTGACTTCTCCACTTTCTGGAGATTTTGAGTTCCTTAAAATTTAAATTATTGATATATGTTGGATTTGGTTTCCCTTTTTGTGCTTAACAACCCAAAATTGAATAGTGGGTCTATCAATAAAAGAAGTTGAATCTTGACTTATCAGGTACTTTCTCTTGTAAATGATTCTTTTAAATCTTGATTGATGATTATTCATGTCCAATTCTCTTCTTTCTTTGATGATTTGAAATGCTACGTTGCCTATTAGGGTACAAGTTTGAGCATGGGCAATTGCTCGTGACAAAATTACTAAAATTAGTACAATGTTGTGCTTCAAAGAAGTTGTTCTCTGTGCTCTCCGTAGTTGGCGTGATAGTGAGATTGCTGATCATCTTTTTTGCGTGGCCATATTGCATTATTTTTGTGGAATGGTGTTGTTCAATTTGGTAGGTTTGAGTTGGGGGCAGCTCTGCAGTATTCTTCTGTGGCCGTTGTGGATTTTAGGGTGTTTTGGGAGTGAAAGAAAAGGGTCTAGGATCGTTGATGACAGATATAAGGTGGTGGATTATGGGCTAGAATGTATTTTTGGCTTCATTTTGGCTTTCAGTCACCCACTGAAATTTTGAGGACGTTTCCCTCTTTTGCACCAAGTCATGGTGGAGAGCTTTATTTGGCTTATATCTTGGTTTTCACGCATTTACAATGATTAATGCACTGTTTTAGGCATCTTTGAGGATCAGTTACTAGGGCCACTTCTCCACCGTCCTAGTACTTCCCTTGTATTCTTTCTTTTATTGATTATGAATGGTTTGTCTTCTGTAGGGTGGAGACAACAGATATGAAAGGTTTAAAGAAGGTCGAGGATCACTGAGCTTGAAATGATCAAGACGACGAATATACTCATACACATCAGTTGGAAGCATTCTTAATGCTCACCTTCTATTATCATCAGCATTTAACATTCCTCTTAGCCCGTGAGTTCTAATGTGCCCTTTCAATGACAAACTTGTCAGTTTTGATGGTCCCTCCATCTCATTTGTATTGGTTTCGACTCTTTCAAGTTTTAGCTGTTATCTAGTTTTCCTGTATTGTCTGAAGACAATACTGTGATGTGTTCAAACAATTTGAATTTGCTGGGCTAGTGAGTTTGGGCACTGTTTCATTTTCTTTCTTTCTTTCTTTTTTCTGTTTACTTCACGGTTTCTCACCAACTAGAAAATTGTAGACCAATTCAAGATGCCGGTTATATGCTTTTGTTTCATTAATAGAAGATTTGGCATTTCCAAGTACTTTTGAATTTATTTATCAAAATATGACACTTTTTAAAATTACGGAGTTTTTTAGTCAAAAGTGGGGTCAAGAACTCCATTTTTAATAGTGAATTCATTGGGCTTCACACCTTTTTTTGGCATTTGACTGAAATATTGATATTATCTTATTCAACCAAAAATTAAAAATGGGGTTGTTGAATCTGTTTTTGTTAAAAGGTTGAATTAATAATTTTTTTTTGAAAAAGTGTTGTAATTTGATAAATAAATTTAAAAGTGTCGTAGACTAATAGTATTGTTTGAAATTCGTTGCATTTTGATAAATAAATCTGTAATTTTTTTTACTTGACTACAATATCGAAGAAAAAATTTTGGTATCATATCTTTAACTTTTACTATTCTAATGGGTGTTTTTAAAATTTGTGTTGGTCATTTTATAATAAAAAATTATCATTTTTGTGGGTAATGTACCTCAAGTTTCTAATATTATGATAATACCTCCAATATTATGTTTTTTTTATAGTTTATGTTTCCCTCACACTTTAAAGTAACTCTTAAATTATGATTTTATTTTTCCTTTACTCTAATTTGTTGATTTGATCATATTTAACCATTAACAATTCAAATTATGATATTTTGATTCTGTACAAATAGATAAATTTTGAAGTATTTTGAATGATTAATAGTGATTGAATCAATAGTTGAGAGTTAAAATGATAAAATATAGTATTGAAACACAAATACATTTCGAGTTTAAAATCATTCAACATACACCCTCTCTCTCTCTCTCTCTCTCTCTCTCTCTCTCCCTCCCTCCAAAGGTTAGTTGTACTCGAGGTAATAGGTAATATGAAATTATCGTTTATGCAATGCAATTGATTTGATTTTTTAAAAGTTTAGTTAATTTGACTAAATTGTATTTAAGGCTTAATTCAACTAAAATGTGATTTTTTTTAAAAAAAAAATTGTTCTGAGAGGGGAAACCTGATATAGATCTTCTATCACGATTATGAGGTATAGGCACTTTACATAGAGGAGGAGGGATAGGTTTTTCAATTTTAATCCAATTAATTACTAATAAAAACCTTAACAACCACAATTACCTATTCTCAAAAAGATATAATAATTAATGTGAGAACATTTTTAGTGTCCACAACCCAAATCAATCATGATGATTGATTTTAATAATTTTTATTTAATTCACTCAAAATCAACCTCACGGTTATCCCAAATTTCAAATCCAATGAACATTTATTCAAACAATCGTTTAAACAAACACATAGTGTGTTTGAGCTCACAATTACAAGTGTGTACAATAAATAATAAAAGAACACAAATAATTTGTTGACGCAGAAAACCCTTATCGGGAAAAATTGCGAAAAACTTTCCCGATTCACTAAAATTTAATTCAATATTCGTTAAGTCAACACACATATACTCAATTCTTATATCTAAACTAATAGCATGGTTAAACACTCATTTTCTTATTATCTCTTTGTCAAAGGCCCTCTTTCAACGTATAGTATAACCTCACTTGAACCTTCCCGCCGCATGGTTCGTCTAAGCCTCGAACAATCATGGGCATGCCAACGATTTTCGGTATGTACACACCAATAAACTTGATTCTAAATCATCAACATCTTCAACACCAAGTTGTGAGGTTAGATAGAATTTTTAGTTATAGCGTTTGAATTTAGGGATTTAGGTTAATGGTGGAAGCTCTCAAGGTAAAAGAAGTGTTTTCTCTCTTAAAAATCTTACAAGAGGTTTAACCTAACTGTGAGAAAAACTCTTTCTATTTATAGGTCGGGAATAAAGGTAATATTATTAATTAAAAAAAAACTCAGATTCGTGAATGACTACTCAATCTGGGAGAGGGCGATCGATTATAGGGGGTTAGCACTTGAATGAAAATCACATTTTCATCCTATTTAGAAGCAGTACCGCTCGAATGACCATGAACACCGCTTGAGCAAGCTCTGTGTTGTTTCTCCATGACCTTTCCTCATCTAATTCACTAAGTCATTAAGAGACCGCTCTAGTTAATGCTGGTGAGCATAACTCGGTCCGTACTGGTCATACAAAAAAAAAATCAATTAGAAAGTTTAACACAATCAAATAACTAATCTAACTACTAAAAGAAGAACTAAAATGAAGAGAATTAGCAAAATAATTATTTCACAAAACAGACAGCATGAAAATACAAATGGCCAAATAATAATATATATTTGCTTGCGAAAAAAAGAGTGGAAGTAAAGGAGAATGTCTAGAGACCACCCTGATAGATCATCCTATATATGTAAAGACCAAAATTGATACAAAAATATCGAATGTGATTTGTTCCAAATTATGAGTTCTTATTAGATATATATATTATACAGAGAAATAGAAAATGAGGAGAGAGGAGAGAGAAGAGAGAGGAGATAATCATGCACGTGATTGATTGCGTGAGAGGGGTGAAATTTTGAATGGATTTCTGGCCGAAACAATGAAATTTGAAATTTGAGCAGAGAACCTTTTACCATTGGATTAAATTCAAGTTAATCACTGACGTCATTGTAATTTATGAAGGGTGTAACATTCAAAAAGCAACTTGTTTTCTTCTTATTATTATTATATATAGACACACTATTGTCCATAGAAAAATTCCAACAGGAAGGGAAAGTGAACCTGTTGAAAACAATTCCAAACCATATCATTAACGTATTTAGTGTCACACAAATAAAGTCTATAAAGAAATACTATACAAAATGATGTGACCCATTAGCCTCATTTCACTCTAAATAAAGGATGATTGATGTCATGTATATGCAAAAGGCCACACAATCATGAATTCGAGTCGTTTTGGGGAAAAAATATAAAAATTTGTTTGTAAACACATGTCAAATTATTTGCCAAATCACAGTTGAAAGACATCAAAAATATAATAATTATAATATTCAGTATTCAGGCACTGATTCATTTCAATTTCCATGAAACGGACACGTTTTGATAATCATCTCAAAATCAAATATAGTTCCTTGAATAGAGGAGGGAAAAGAAAACAATGCAATTAGAACTCTCATCTAACAATATATCAAAACACAAACTTTTGAAGCCTCATATACCATCTTCATAAAAGACCATGAGGACAAAAGTTTTTGGAGCCACCATAAGGACTCTACGCATCATAACACTAACCAATGCAATGGATGCCTGCAACATGGTCAATTTTCCAAAAGACCTTCATGTAATCAAAGAATTCAAAGATTAAATACATTTCTTTATGGACATGGTACAGAAAAAGCAGAAAACAGTATCCGAAAATTATTTTTGGAAATAGTTTTAAGACAGTGTTTTTAAAAAAATTTAGATTGCAAAACTTGTTTGGTTGTATATTTTTAAAAATAGTTTAAAAGAACAAAAATTATAAAAATTTGTTTAGACAATAATATTCATCTCCTCTCTCTCTTTTACTATGCATCAAGACCCACAAAGCACAGTGAACCACCAAAACTCACAAAGTACAGTGAATAACCACCATCAAAGCACAGTGAACCATCGAACCAGAAACACCACCGAAACCCAGACTCACCACCAAAACCCACAACCACCACTAAAACCCAAACGCACCACGGAACCCACAACCATCACCCGAAACCCACATCCACTATCAAAATCACAACCACCACCGAACAACAACACAATTGCTAGGTAACAATTACAACAAATATAGACAGAGACACACACACACAGACGCTCAGTGAGGCGAAGAAGAAGAGTGAACACACACACACACAGGGGGTGGAGAGGAAGAATGAACAAACGGCGAGGGAGCTCAATGAGACAGTTTTGGGAAAAATAAAACAATCTCTCCTTTTTGTCTCCGATGAAACTAGAAGGGAAGACCTCATTAATTTAGAGATAGTCGTTTCCCTTGTTTTCGTTTTGCCTAAAAAAATAATGAAAACCTCATTTTGTTGTTCTCTAAAATTACATTTCAATTCCCAAAATTTTCAAAAAATTGGAAACCGAAAAAACTAAACAAATAGATTTTGGTTGTTTTTGAAATTTTGAGAAAAAAAAAACAATTTTCGAAAACTAAACCAAACACGATCTTTTGAGAGTTGGGAAATCAAAACCATGTGTTCAATTCTACATGAAAGTGTGTTATTGAGCTTATTATCAGTAGGATAGCAGCCATGAGCTTAATTTACCTCATGTCAAGGACAAGGATTACAGTATTGACATATGAAGGTAACAAATAGCTCTCCATAAATAATAGACATATCCAAGAAAAATCTTTACAGAGGAGGGAGATTCACTCAGCTTCGATCAAATTATCCTCAATGACAACTCAAATGGGTGCTGCACATGTTGTCCTAAAGTGGCCTGTCTGATTGCATCGGCTACAATGCACAACTCGCTTCATGCGACCACGGTCCTCTGCTCGGGTTCTTTTTTTCCTTGGTCGGCCAGGAGGTCGAAGTGATTTAGGTGGATTTATGATAATCTCAGAAGCTTTGCTTGCAGTTGAATCTCCCTCAGATACCTCCTTCCATAATGTTTTATCAGGAATTGGATGAATAGTTTGTGAGTATGTCTTCCGGTAAGTTGCAACAGTGAAACAACTCTCAGTAAATCGATGGACATTCTGCCTGCAAGAAAGCAGTGCCGCTACAGCATGTGCACAGGGCAAACCATACAGCTGCCAAGCCCGGCAAAGGCAGCAACGATTCCGAATATCAACAATATTTGTTCCCTCATGAGATATAACTTCAAATTCAGCTTCATTGGCACGAAGGACCTGATAAGTGCGTGCCCGCTCAAGTGCCTCTGCAACATGCCTCTCAGCTGATGGCACAAGAATTGATGTCCACTGCATACTAGTTTCTCGGCGTTCATTGAACCAAGTCATAAGCTGCCTCCTAATGCATTCCATCATCTGAATTATTGGAAGCCCAGAGGCTTCCAAAATCCACGTATTTAGTGATTCCACTATGTTGGCTGTCAAATGCCCAAACCTTGTTCCCTCAAAATAAGCTGTAGCCCATAAACGAGGAGGAATTCGCCGAATCCAATATGCAGCATCTTGTGAAATTTCTTCGATCTCTAAAACTTTTGCTTCAAATTCAATCACCGTAAGAGCATGAGCAGCTTCCCATAATAGGTTGACAAGCATTGTATTATTAAACTCCTTACAAAAACTATCACTGAGGTGACGCATGCAAAATCCATGAAAAGCAGTCGGGAAATTCGCCTCCACACCATCCACAATGCCCTTCTGCCTATCTGACAAAATTGTAAGCCTGGGCATGTTCTCTGTGTTAACCTCAAGCAGGGTATGAAGTTCAGAAAGAAACCACATCCAGTTATCGTCATTTTCCTCATCAACAACACCAAAAGCAAGAGGAAACAGGCCACCATCCCCATCAAAACCAGTAGCTAAAAGCAAAGTCCCCAGGTACTTACTTTTTAAGAATGTCTTATCAACCCCAAGGAGAGGGCGACATGCATTCAGAAAACCATAAATAGATGCCTGAAATGATATGAAGAGGCGCTGGAAGCAATTGTCAGTGGAACCCCCATAAACAGATGCAATACTTCCCGGATTCATCCGTTTAACTTGTTCACAATACTGCGGAAGGAGGCGATACCCTTCTTCAAAGGATCCACGCATAGCAGCCATAATCCGCTCCTTTCCCCGCCAGGCTTGCTTGTACGATAAAGTGATACCATGCATCTTGTGAATCTCTTCCAGAATCTCCTTTGGCTTGTAATTGGGGTTTTCTCGAAGCTGTTGCTCCACAGTGCTTGCCACCCACTGAACTGAGGCTTGCTGATGGCCAAGGTGAGCAATTCCTCCACATTTATGGGCCTCATGGATGGTCCTGATTGTGAAAGTAGGTACACCAGGAAGCTTTGCAGCATGTATGCGCCAGGGGCATCCCTCACTGGCACATTTAGCAGTGAAGCGAGTTTTATCAGATTTTATGGTCTGAATTTCAAAGTGAAGGGCAATGGCTGTGTCCCTCAATGCCCTCCGACAGCTTTTGACATCCGGGAATTCTTGACCCACAAGCAGCTCATAACTAGGGCTTGCAACAACAGTACGTACCTGAAGGACATGACTGGGAGTAACTACAAGCTGGGCTTGCTGAACACCAATGTCATGAGTGGTCTCCAGTCCCATTTCCTGATTCTGAACTACAACTAGTTCCATGTTCTCATCAAGTTCTTGGTTTTCTGAAACACCCAATTCACTGTGCTCGGATATATCTAACTCATGGTCATGAGCAGGAAGAGGTAAATCTAAGCCTTCATGCTCAGGTTTCTGCTCCTTCGCTAACCCATTCTCATGTTCATAGCTATGACCATCATCCACTCCCTGGTCCTGACTCTGTCCTAAACTCATTCCATGGTCCTGTGGATGTCCCAAATCCAAATCATGCTCATGGTTCTGTCCCAAACCTAAATCATGACTCTGGCCAATAGCAAGATTGTGATGGTCCATCACTAACACCTGGTTATGACCAAGAGCTAAATTATGACTTTGCCCGTGTATCAAACCATGGTCAACCATTACTCCTCAGCCACAACAATCAACAACCCAAACAATATCGCCTTTCAAACAAAACCAAACAACAGCTGTCTGAAAAAACAAAAACAGCTATCTACAATTCAAAACAATACTATAACCAGTATAAGAAGCATTAATGTAACAGTGATCAAAACAAAAGTATACCAAATGGTTAATCCATTATTTTGATTCCCAGAGTTATTGAAATTCAACAACAAATAACCATTGTATAGATGACAGAACTAATGCTTCCCTTAATTTAAGAAAAATATCCAATTATAATTACCTTAAAAAGGCACAAGTCAAAAGAACAAGCATGTATTTGTTTCACACACTAACTTGAATAAACAGAAACTATCACTAGGCACATAAAATAACCTATGGCAGCCTCTTCGACTTCATAATTCCTTTGAATCAGCAAAAGCATCAAAAAAATAATAATTTCTCCAAATTTTACATCTAAAAAGGAAAAAACACATCCAAGATAATCAACCCATTACCATAATAACATTCCAAATTCATACCAATAAACACCCCCCCACCCCCACTACCAAAAAAAAAAATTAAGCTAAAGAAAAAGAAAAAGAAAAAATGATCACAACCCATAAATCACATAAAACAAATACCTGAACAACAAACAACCCAATAGTTAATAGTTCAAAACCCTTGGTTCAAATAGGAGTAGAAGTCAACATACAAGCTTCAAAACCCAAAATCGAGGTGGGTATGGAGTAAAAGTTGAAGAACCGCAAGAACAAAGAATGATCTGGTAAAGATTTGAGAAGAAAAACACATGAAGGTTATCAAATTTCGAGTGAGAACTAGGGATTGGAGAGGCGGAGTAAGGGATGATTGAAATGGGGCAAAGGGGAGGAGGAGAGAGAAATTGGCGGGTAAGTTGGTTGATGAGGGAGTGGAGTGAAGGAGGGTGTTGTGGGAACTGGGAAGGAGAGAAGGGGGAGACTAGGAATTACAGGGGCAGAAGGGGGTGTTGGGAGGGTTGAGACGGGGCAATACAGGCAGAGGAATGTGGAGAACGGTGGGTATTTAGGTCAAACCAAAAGGACTCTTTCTTTTTCCTGTTTTTATAATTACTAGTTTGCCCCCCATTTGATTGTTTGTTTTTGTAGCAATATTTGTGTGGGACAATTACATCTACACCCTTGAGTTTTATCACTTAGGCTCCCCAACTTTCAAAATATTATACACAGATATTCTAAAGTTTGTACGAGCGTCACACATAGGCCCATGTCATTAATGTCCGTAGTATATCTGTTAGTAAATTACATCCAAACCCTTAAAATTTAAAGAGTGTAATACTTAAACTTCTCGAGTTTAAAATATTATATTTAAACCAAAATTACTCCAATTAAAAATAGAAAATTAAATATTTTTAAACTTTATAACCAAAATTCATGTTCTATTATTTCATATTAAAATAAAATCAAAATTTTAATTTTTTTCATTAAAAAAATTATAGTTTGTATTGTTAATCTCAAATTTTGGACAATTTCCATGCCAGTTTATTAGGCTTCGATCACCTGAAAAAGAAGTCAGAGACCAACAGAGATTTCTAGGGGTCGACTCTCCGATATTAAAGTCAATAAGTGACTCAAAGATATGAACTGCGTTTAGAAGTTAGAAATAACATACATGTAGCATCAATGGAGCTCTATTTATAAGAGTACCAAACAAAATCCCAATTTTTTGAGAAAAAAAATATTAATCAATATAAATATATCAAAGAACTCAATTATGCATTAATTTGCATACAATTATATTGTCTATTTGAATAAAACTAAAAAATTAAACAATTGATCAAACTATAAATGGACACAATATATTCTATATTTAATTGTGGTAATTTAGTCATTTAATGGATTATGTTAGTTTTGTACTAATAAGGGGGTGTGAATATGATATTTTAAACTTGAGAGATTTAAGTATTACATGCATATAAATTTTAAAGGATCTGAGTGCAATTTATTAATAAATATATTAACGAACATTGACCACATAAGTCTAAATATTACATGCATACAAATTTTAGAGACCTATGTGTAATAATTTAAATATTAGTGGATCTAAGTGATAAACCTTAGAAGATTTGAGTATAATTTTTCCTATTTGTCTTTACAATAAATTGCATTTTATACTCCAAAAGATGGGTGAATTATATTTTATACCTTAAAATATTTATTTTTTATTTTATACTTTTAAAGATTAAATCTTTCTTATATACCGTTAATGTATTAAAAGTGTTGTAATGTATTCCTTCCATTAGTTTCTGTTAATCATTCTGTCAATGTTAATGAGATGAATTTCGACAAAATAAGAAATAAAAGATAACAAAATAACCACATTATAACATTTTTAATATATTAAATTTATAATATAAAAAAATCTCATCTTTTAAGATACAAAGTAAAAAAGTTTAAATGTTTTGGGGTATAAAGTGAAATTCTCCAACAAGATTTAAAAATTCTCAACTTATACTCCCGAATATTAATTTTTTTATATTGTATTCTCAATGTAATAAATGTGTTATAATGTGACTCTTTTATTAGTTTTTATTGTTAATTATGTCAGTATTAATAGAATAGTAATATTGCAATACTTTTAATACATTGAAGATAAAATATTAAAAAATTAATGTTTAATGGCACAATAAAAATTTTTAAATCTTGTGCAAAATGTGATCTTTTTATTTTAGGAAAAATTATATTCAGACCCCTGAAATTTATCATTTAATCACGCAGACTTCATAATATTTAAAATATTACACATATACCCTTTGAAGCTTATACGCACGTAACACTTAGACCTTGCAGTCAATATTGATTATTATATTTGTTAGTAAATTACATGTAAACCCTCTGAAATTTGTAGGCATATAACACTTAGACCTCACAAGTTTAAAATATTACAGTTACACTAAAAATACTTCAATTAAAGGCAGAATATTAAATATTTTAAATTTTACACCCAAATTCATACTCTATTATGTCATTTATTAAAATAAAATCAAAAATAAAAATATAATTTTTTCTTAAAAAATTATAATTAGTACTATTGATGCCGAAGTTTGGATAACCTCTACATCAGTTTGTTGGAATTTAATCACCTAAAAAAGAAGTCCGAGGCTGGAAGGGAATTTCGGAGGTCGACTCTCTGATACCTAAGTCAGTAAATGACTCAAAGGTATAAACTGTGTATAATAATCAGTATAAATATATTAAAAAAATTTAATTTAATGTTCATTTGCATACAATTATAATGTCTATTATAATAAAACCAAAAAAAATCAAAAAGGGATCAAGTTGTAATAGACATAATATCTTCTATATTTAATTTGGATAATTTAATTATTTAATAGATTCTGTTAATTCCATAACTAATAAGATGTTTAAGTGTAATATTTTAAACTTAAAGAATTTAAGTGTTATACATTTATAAACTTCAGGAAGTCTAAGTGTAATTTATTAATGAATATACTAACAATCATTGATGGCAGGAGGCCTAATTGTTATGTGCGTAAAAATCTCAAAGGGTGCGTTCGTAATATTTTAAATATTAGAGAGTCTAAGTAATTAAGTGACAAATTTTAGGAGTTTGAGTGTAATTTTTCTTTATTTTTTATTTTTTATTTTTTATTTTTTATTTTTTATTTTTTATTTTTTCAGCTCACTACTTTTAATATATGCTTCTTAATTCAAGTAAAACGTCTTAACTAAGTTATTAAAATCTATTTAATTTTATTATGTCTTTGAGTTAATTATCTTTAAGTTCACTGTCTTTAGCTCATTGTCCTGAGTGTGCACGAGGAAGGACAAAAAATAGCGAATAGAAAAAGTAATTAACAATAAGAGAAATAAATTTAAATAACCTCCTTACTTAAGGGTATTCTTGCTAAGGGCGGCGGTGGTGGGGCTGTTAAGTTTACTGTCTTTTAATTTATAATTTTTTAAAGGTTTAATTTATACTTTAAAATAATTTAAATTATAAATTATAAATAATCAATCACAAAATAGTATATTTTTTTAAAATCTTTAAAAAATATTGTATTCGATTACTAAATTTTATTACTTCAGTGTTATGGTTGATTCCTTGATCCTCGGTAGCGAAACTCAATATCCAAGATAAAATTTCTATTTTATTGTTGATGTGGTTCACTATTTGTGAGAATTTTGGACGATGCACTAAGAGTTTCATTGTATTAAAGTTTACTGTTTGTAAAAAATTTTTGAACTAGAAGTTTAATTCTATTAAAGTTCATTATTTATATTTATCTCAAAAAATTTTGAGTTCATTGATTATTTTTTTGAAGTTCACTATTTATATTTTTCTTAACATTTTTTAAGTTCATTATTTTTGATCTATTTTCTCAGTTCAAATAAACCGTCTTAACTAAGTTATTAAAATCTAATCAATTTTGTTAATTAAACACAATTTATTTGTGTTCACCGTCTTTGAGTTCACTATTTTTAGTTCATTGTCTTTTAGTTCACTCTCTTTAGTTCACTGTCTTGAGTTTGCATGTGGAGGGAAGGGGAGGGAAATAGAAGAGAGAGAAATAATTTAAGAATGAGAAAAAATGAAATTAAACTGTAATTACGGGTATTTTCGTCTAGTTTTGATTTTTTAATATATCTCCAAAACATATATTAAAAATTTAAATGATGGTGAACAACAGTGGTGGTGGGTGGCAACGATGGTGGGTAGTGGCGATGGATGGGTGATGGTGGGTGGCGATGGTGATCGATGGCGGTGGGCAATTGTGTGCAACGATGGTGGTAATGGGTGGCAACGATGGTAGGTAGTGGCGATGGATGGGTGATGGTGGGTGGCGGTGGTGATCGATGGCGGCGGGCAATCGTGTGCAGCGGTGGTGGTGGTGGGGTGACAACGACAATAGTGATGGGCAATTGTGTTAGTGAAGTTGGCCGTGGGTGGTGGTGTTGGGTAGTAGTGGCTATGGATTGCGGTAGGTGACAATGATTATTGATGGTGGGTGGCGGTGGTGGTGATGGTAGTGGTGGGCGACAAGGGTGACAACGATGGGTCGTGGTGTCAATGGTGAGAGGTGGCTAATGATGGGCAACAACAATGGTGGGCAGCAGTGGTGGCTATGGATGGTGATGGGCGCCTGTAGTGGTTAAGGTAGTGGTGGGGGACGATGGTAACAGTGGGTGGTGGTGGGCGATAATGGTGGCGATGGGTTGCGGTAGTGAGTGGTGGTGGCAGTGGTGAGAAATGATGAAAGGGTGGGATGATGATGATAATATTAATAAGTATAAGAATGAAAGAATGGTGAAAGGTTTTAAACCTCTTTTATTAAGGATATTTTTGTCAAAAGTTGATTTTGTGGGTCTTCGGCCTTAAAAGTGTTGAGGTTAGCCCAAAAAATTCTTAATTTTGTACCTCTCGCCGAATCTCACTTGTTTTTTCCCAAACAGCAGAAGACTTGCTGTAGGCGGTGTGAATTGTGAGGAAAAACAATGGTTGTCGCATAGACCGAGAGGAATGGGTATTTCGCGTAAGATATTCGAGCCAAAATTTGGATCCGCAGTCAATATTCGATTTTAATATGTTATTCATAGGAACGGGATTATGCAATCATCAATTTATTTTGTCAAAAGTGTTCTCAGAATGATATTTTTGCAAGATCTATCCGATTAGAGCATCTCTAATAAAGAATCAAATTATGCTAAATAAGGTGATTAATAATTAACCTAATGACCACCGTTTATATTATTTAAACTTAAAATCACGAGAGAGTCCACATAGTGGGATGACCGGACAAAGTAATCGTTGTCATCGTCAATATTATTCTTTGTCAGACCAGTTGTTAGTTGTTAGACAAACATGTTTGCAATTATGAAATAATTAGAGATAACTCAGAAGATACGGTGCAATATGAATGATTTTTTGAGATGAATGTTAGTAGCTGTTGAATTAATATATTTGAGACCGATGAATAGACTTATTAAAGCATGTTCTT